TTTAAAACCGAATTATACCTTTCCTTCGAACATAACATTGGGAGAAGACGTAATTATCTACCGAATGGCGGAAAGAATCATGAAATGTAATTGGACATTTAGGGGCATCGAAAATCAATGAGAAAAATGCATGCTACATAAGTAGTCCTTTTTTACAGAGTGCAGTTTTTGCATGCAACCGGAAGGAAGTTCGTTCGAAAGCCGACATCCTGAGGTAACTGAAATAGTATAGAATTATGTTGCAGGCCGACTAGTTTTACGGCCCTACTTAATTGATCTTTTCGAAACGAAAACGAAAGGCATTAAATTTGGCCCAAATGCGTAATTCGGCGAGCATATCCCGTAGCCTGATCGGCGAACGTCTTTTCCACAACAGTTTTCCTGCCTCAACGACTGCGTCACCTTTAACCCGCATTTTTGGTTTGAATCGATAATCCCTCATTCGGGTGTCGACCGTCATCCGTTCGTCGGAGCTGTGACGCGCAATGCCCACCCGTTGTCTTAGCTCCTACACGCGTGGTAAAATTAGGCCACCACCACCACCACCACTTCAAACAACTTCACGCGCAAGTCACCATCCCTGCCCTCATCCGGCTGTGGAGCACACGGTGGACATCGACGGTCACGACAATCGAAATGTCCGGCGGTAGTCAGTCCAGCATTCGGAACAACGCCGCGCCTATACCACGGGCATATAACGGTGATCACGCCTCGTACCACGGGTGTAGTTTAGCAGTTCTGATCGGCGTGGGTTCACTGTAGATGTGAGGAATCATCTTCCCGGCTGCATCTAAAAACCATACTCCGTAGAAAATGACTGCCTATGTAGCATGCATTTTTGCATTGATATTTGAAGCACTTAAAGATTCGATTATATTTCATGGAAACCATGCATTACAATATTCATTCTTTTGCGCTGGAAAGATAACCCCTCATTCGGGTGTCGGCCGTCATCCGTTAGTCGGAACTGTGACGCGCAATGCCCACCCGTTGTCTTAGCTCCTACACGCGTGGTAAAATTAGGCGTTCATGCGTTAATCACTGGTGGTGGTTGTGGTGGTGCTAGGTGGGATGATGGGTCGATCGCACACATCCGAGCCGGTGGTGGCGGCAGCAGCGGCCGGTGGGATGATGGATTGGTCGCCCGCATCCGATTTTCAATCTCATTGCCAGTGTCGGTTACTGGCATAATAACTAACCCGACAAGTTGACCCCCACAGTTTGTTCACGCCCTTCCCGGCTGGCTACCTACTTCGCCCGAACTTTGGACCAAA